TTATGGATGAATGAATAGTTGAACCAATGAATGGATGAATAGATGAACTTATGAATGGATGAATAGATTAACTTACAAATGGGTGATCTTATGGATGAATGGATGGATGTAAAAATGAATGAATGAATGGATGGATGGTAAGTTGGATGAATGAATAGATGAACTTATGAATGGATGAATAGATGAACTTATGAATGAATGAATAGATTAACTTATGAATGGATGAATAGATGAACTTATGAATGAATGAATAGATKAACTTATGAATGGATGAATAGATGAACTTACGGATGAATGAATAGTTGAACTTATGGATGGATGAATAGATGAACTTATGAATAAATGGACAAATCCTTAGAATAATGGATGGATGGATTAAATTTTGGACATTTTATTCTATTTAGACAAAATTATACTTCAGAAACTGTTTAACACAGACTTTAATTTTCATTAAATTGTTTTTTTTTCAGCCTGTTAAAAAATCGAATAAATTACTGGTTTATTTAAATAAACTTCTCAGACTGTAATCATATCTTCACATTTTCAACAGATTAACTTTTGGAGTCAAGACCAGATTCAAGATGGCCGCCACAGCTTAGCACAAACCAGTTATAACTCAGCCTGTTTTGTAGACATGGTGCTCAAATTTGGTGAGGTAGTAGTCAYACCCATCACATCCACTGAGAGCAAAGATCACGTGAACTCTTAACTTAATTTTTTGCCGTGCAAGGCAGCTCACTATAGGCATTGCTGTTACCTTTAAAATTGGATGTGTTTTAAATAAAAATGAACCATTTAAAAAGCGATTTTCAAATCAAGCTTTAATGCAGTCATTCAGAAATAAAACTCATGTCTGCTTTATTATTAATTTAATGCTACATAAAGACTCTGCTGGATTAAATTGTTCAAAGTTCCAGTTCAATCTGCACCTCTAACAGATGAAACACCCACTGGTTAAATTCCAATTATATTTTTTCTCTCTAAAGCAGCAGCTTCACTCATGTCTAATTGAAGGCTTACTGTACTTCTTGATCGGTTGAATAATGATTCATGTTAATTTATTCTGTTTTTCACTGTGTAAGATTCAGTGTATTGTGCAGGGATTGTTTTGTGCAAATGATAAAAGCTCAAAAGGTCAAAAAGAAAAATAAAGACAAACAGATGTTATCTGACTTTAGAAGATGATTTATTTCATCCTGGAAATGTACAGATTTTTTTTAAATACCAATGTTTTCAAATTAAGGAACGAAGGGATTACGTTTGTAAAATAAAGGCAAACAAAAAATAAGTTAAATCAATAATAGTCACATTTTATCCTCTAATGAACCTTGTTAAAACAGGGCCAAAAAGTAAAAATGATACTGTAATATCACTTTTCTTAAAACTAATAATAATYTACTGTATGTTTGCACCAATTTCCATTAATGCCTGTTTGGTAAATACAATGAAAATCTATATAAATATAAAAAACAGCTGTCTTTTTTTCCCTATTTTCTAAAAGGATAAGTTTTTTTCCATTTTAATTTGGGATATTTTTCAAATAAGTAATTAATAATAATTTTGTTTACACCTAAATGAAATCAGGAAGCATCAGGAAGGTACAGTATACTTCCAAAGCAAATGCTTTAAATTAAAGGACACTTGCTGCTATGTTTATAGCTAATGGTTTTACTATGTGCTTTTTCATTTTTCATTTCTGGTAATTATGACATCAGTATCTAGTAATTATAACCTTGTATATTTTTCTGCGGGGAATGCAATGCTCTTCCATAGAAATTTGAGGTAATTTTTTAAAAAAATGACTGAATCAAAAAACTTTTCTTCAAGTGAATCAACTTGTGATTGTTGGTTTACTTCCTGACATTTTGCGAAGACATTGTTTTAATCAGATCCTGTTTTCTATTTTTATTACCTGCAGTAACATCATCGTTAACTTGGTAAAAAGAGCAAACGATGAGGTGTGGTGCTATTGAAGCTTTTGAACGACTTTCAGAAGATGGACTCGACAACGATGATGAGAACAGAGAAGGAGAAGAGTAGCAGTAAATCACATTAAAAGAGTCGAGAGGCCGGTTGATGACAAGAAGTAAGAAGTTGAGTGGAAAGAGGGGGGAAAAACGAGCAGTGAGGTGATGGATGGATGACTAAGTAAGAAGATAAATAGAAGAAGGGACTGAAGGATGAATGGGTGGATGCCTCGACACATGGCCCCSGGGAATCAGCCATTATACATGCAACTGTCACTCAAGATTAGAGGCATAATTAAACTCCTGTCGCACCGCGTGTGGCTCCAAAGTGTGGTGTGCGTGTTTGTGCATTTGTTTGTGCGTGTTGTTTCCCAGTGTGGGAGGGACAGAGTGTGACAGAGATTGATGGTGAGGGTAAAGCAGGCCATTATGTTGTGTAGCTAAAGCAGTGATAGCCTCTCCACCTCAGTGTCTGTTTAAGCGACTGGCCATTTTATAGGTGTGGCCCAACTGACCCCCATGCACACACAAACACACACGCACACAMTGACTCTCCTACTTTGAAATTAGGAACAAATAGTTTGGTTTTATTGAATCTGRCAGCGATCCATCACTAAAATACTCTCCTGCAGAACTGCATGCAAAAAATAAGGTATTTCTGACGTGCTTTTTGTATCATTTATAATGAATAATGAGCAAATTATTTAAGCTGAGTAACCTTTTTTATAT